TCCGAAGATGATCACAGCGTGATCAATCTTATCAAGGGGTGCAAGGTGCTGGACGGACCATACATCATCTGCATGTGAGAAAACTAAGTCTAGAACTGATGGAGCATACTGATTATCATATCTGGTTGTTGTCCTAATGTGCTGCATAAAGGTAAAGGAAATTGATGTTTCCACTAACCTGTGCTCAGACGAGTTACGTGATGCTTTTGTCATTAGTCTATCTCAGTCAACCGAAGTCTTCTACAACTAGGCATCAGCGTTTATCTGTCCGGGGGGTCACCCTTTTTAGGAAGAAGTCCGCTGCCCCACATTCACGGCTTCGATATATTACGATTACGTTAACATCTTGTCCCTTGCATTTCAGTCGGCCAAATCCTTACTCATGAGCACTTCAGATCCTTGAAGTCTGTGGACGTTCTTCAGAATCTGATCCCTCTCCTCTGTTGATCTGAACACGACTTTAAGTGACCAAACCTTTCAGTAGGAACTGTCTCCTTTTTGCCTACTCTATGTATCTTGAGTAGGGTGACTCCTAGGATGTTTTCCGGTAAAAGCCGGTTTATCAACTTTTGTACTTTGCCAAAGTCATGTTCGAAACATTTACGTGGTTTTGGGTCTCTACTTTCCACCACTGTGTGGAATTTTACAGACTTATCAACGAGCTCTACGTTAACTCTGCCCTGTGAAGAGATGACGGTTGATTAGACGATCGTTACTGGCTTCTTGGCATGCCGTTTAGGCTTGATCACTTTCTGTTTCTCAGAGTCGGGTATGCATGGCTTACTGAAGCCTAGTCCAATGACCTTGACACAGCCTCAGAACGAACTTGCATCCTATTCTGTATAGTTTTTGTCACTGATCAGGTCTCCAAACTGAATATGACCTACGGCCTGCATGGTTCCGCGGTTGGCACTGCGAGCACTTCACTCCTGTCTCTTTCATAGGAAGTAGACCTATTCTTACGGTTGGTTGTTTTCAAACTGCGTCTGCCAGCTCTGAAGGTACTCGCTTGACTCTGCTTGGCGTAGTTTTTCTAAAGTCGCTGTCAACAAAGCTAGTAAGTAGTCTACGCTCCTGACTCACAGCTTGTCGTGGAACGTTCTTAAAATTTTCCAAAGCGATCTGTGTCAGTGGATTCTGTATCGTTACCACTATCATAGTTATCGACTTTCCCTTTTGACGTTAGTTTCTTCGTTATTGTATTTGGAGGTGTTTTGTCTCTTCTACCAGAGTCCGAATATCTGAACAGCACAACACGCAAAGCCAGACACTCCCTGCGTTACTGTACCTCCTATATGCTGAGGGTGTGAGGCTTGTGCAATTGTCGTGGAACCCAACTCTTACATTCGGTACACTGCATACCAGAAACCTCTGCGAAGTGGCACCCGACCCTACCACAAGCATTTTTACAACACTTTTAGTCCACCATGTAACTGGAGAAGTTCACCCAGAAAAGTTCTTGTTCCGCTTTAATCAAATAATATTTCTATTACAGCAAAAATACAACAGCCTTTGATGTGTAAATACAAAAAATGCCGAGAATCTAACTGAACGTGAAAAGTCACTCCCCCTTTCAAAAGCTCATGTGACAATGAAATTCGTAATATCATAAACGGGTTGTTGCACTATTGATAGTGTTTGATTGTAATTAACATATGCATAGCTTGCAAATGAATATTATTCAGTGTGGGATTTGTCGACGCTTCAGGCTTTCAGCTGTTGACCTCTCTTTCCTGGATGTTGTGGAGACAAAACCGTAGATGCATCCATAATTTCTACCTCTCCTTTAGACAGTAAGGAGCCCACAAAAATCGTAGTAATTACAGCTGAATGGAGCTTAGTGTAAGGGGTGTCTCGTGTCTTATAGTTTTAATGGAGGTGAACTTCACTAAGCCAGATTTTTATTAAGTGTCCATCACGGTAAACTGTAACCCGAGATGCAGTTTCACCATAGCATTCATTTTCAAGTATGACCTCGGCTTGTCCTACGCCTTTGCTATCGTCACTATCTACAGTTGTTAAACTAAGTAATTGTAACTCATGAGTATACCACGAAAGTTTCCACCCTTTAGATAACCACCTAGAATATGTAATTGACCCTTCAAAACAGGATTTTAGCCCCGGTTGTCAAAAGTGCAAAACATTTTGTTGTCATTGTTACATTTTTTTGTTGGTAACAAATTTACTGACGATAATTTATGATGAGTCAGTTTACGAGTCGGTAGTTTGGTGGTCACTCATGGAGTTTATGCCTTTTATGTTTCCGAAAACATATGAAAAAGCAGCAAACTTCTCTGCAATCCACGTGCTGTGGCAAATAAGTGCATTATTGATAATTGGTTTTGCTATTAGTAGCATTAGTGACTTTGATAATGTGTCATGGGTTACTTCGGTTGACTGCACCCTGTTATTTTTCGAACTGTTAACGAGAAGCTCAGCAACCTATTTGAGAATGACTATGGGTTTTTAATATTGCTTGCAAATTGAAGACAAAGATTCACCACGACATTTACATAGTGGGCAACCATATTGAGAATATTATACGCAACTTTCAGTGCATAATCCCTTCCATAGAAAGTTGATACTCAAGATGGCTACAATGATGGCGTACTCGAACTTGTAGTTAACTCAGTTAAACTACTGTAGGTTAAGGTAAACTAGGGAACAAAATTACCCGACTGTGAAATGCATTAAAGTGTTTTGGAGCAATAAGTGAAACTGCCATGAGAGACTTCTGCGAAACCACTAACTGTAATACTTCTAGTTAAGATTTAAGAAATTAGCTTCTGTTGTGATTTAACATAAGCAGCTAACGACTTACCAAACGTTAAAATGAAAAGTGGCTGAGATATCAAGGACTTCAAAAGCCCAAGATCTGATGTCCAGTATTTTTCGTGAACTGTTATAAACCCCTTCATATAAGTGTACAACTTGGGCACTGTGATAGAATCTAATTCCATTTCAAATTTGTTTATTTGATGTAGCACACAGCGATGCTGTATTCTTTACTTGATTATATTATGAACATGAATTATTGCTGATAATCAGTCTTTGGTGTTTTTGGTAATGTTCCAGTCCACTAGGTTCAGCCATTCATCAGAAGCTCCAGAAACCAAGTAGGTGACCAGGTATTTGTTAGATTTGTCGGAACACGTGTTATGATCGCAGCTTAATATTGTAATGAGACCTTCAAGTGTCAACTCACACATTGCTTCAGACTCCTCGAAACAAAAGAGGGGATTCAGATGGCAACCAAAACAAACAAAAGGGAGAGGGAAAGCCAAACTGTAGATAATTAGACTTTTAAATTCAGAGGTGGTGGTCAAAAGAATTTAAATGAATAACAAAACAAAAGAGAAAAGGCAGTGGGAAAGAATCAGTGAAAATTATATTAGGGATGGTGGAAGTAATAGCAACAATATTGCTAATGAGGTAGCTGAAGATGTTCGACATCGAATGAAGGGAGGGGACAGGCGATTTGGTATAGAGGGTTAGAAGATCGAATCATGTCAATAATAATAGTAACAACAAAAGAGGATTGATATGAAGGTGGATAGATATATTAAACGGATGCGATACCAGTTATTTCTCTAAGCGTGTTATGTATCCCAACTGGATGAGCACAGTCCATGTGTCACTGTTTAGCTGTTCAGCCTTTTACGAAGCCAGCGACAGGTATCCCAGTAGCCACTGTAGCTGGCAGTGTCATTTAGTAGCCACATGACCGAATAAAGTATGGTCCCACGTAAGGTTTCGTTCCTTAGTGACTGATTGTATTCGCGTTCCCACGAGGGTCACTGTAATATCTGTCGGATATTGTGTTCTGCTGACAAGTTACTTAAAATTTCGGAAGCCACCATGTATCCTGCGATAACAGAGTTTGAGGAACGAGTCCCTTTATTCTATCTTCATATAGTTTTCGCTAAATCCCTAAAGCACCCTTTGTAGCTCATCTGTGAACTCTCTGCAAGACACTATCATTCTTCTCTTATGGCGGTACGATAACATAATGTGTCGAGGTGAAACTGTGTAAGTCTTGCGGAGCTTTTAAAAGAACAATGAGATGGGGCACCTGGTTGTATAGCGCCAAGTAGACTTTAAAGGCGTACACAGTCAAGACTAGACTCAGATCTTCCTCTGTGGTTGTGTGACAGAGGCGCATACAACAGTGAGGAAGTAGGGTACTTTCTGCAAATCCGGGATGCATTTGCAGTCATTGCCACTGTTGGTTTTCATGCACCACTCGAGCCTTCTAAGACAGAGAAAAAATCAACGTGGAACCTCACGCACTGGTGCATTGGTTTAGGTTGCCACACTTCACATTAGTACATAAAGAACAAGTGTATATAAAAGGAGGGATATCAAAGTAGGCAACGTTGGGGGAGCGAATAAACAATTCGAAGACAATATTCAAGCTCTAGAAGATGTCAGGGAGTGAATGCATCTGCACCACTGTGACTGATTTTCAGCCAAGTCACCATGATTCCTCAACCACTAATTCCTATGGTCTCGGGGACCCAAGCAAGGTAGTCTACATCTCCCCACACAGCAAAGACCAGCAATCAGGGACTTCATCGACTAATGGGATGCCTTTCTCTAGCCACCCTCAACCCTATTTTAACCTAACCCAACTTCTAGCATAGCACGCTGATCTAGATGGTAGTTCGGGATCCGCACCACATGTCCAAGCCACCTCAGCCACTGAAGGTTCACCACCTCATCAATCGACTTTTCTCTCCTGCTTAATATCCTTCGTGTGACTTCAGTATTACTCACACGGCGGTGATTCCAGCAAACACGGGTAATGCTGTGATGACAGCTGTGGTCGAAGACCTGTAACCGCTTCATCTCTTCTACCTTTAACGGTCATTTGTGAGAGCCATATAACAGAGCAACCTATTTATGACTGTGTATTCCATCATATTCCTCTCATTAAATTCAAACCATCTCTGATTCATTTTTAGCGGTAAAATGTTAACTTGCTTTCTTTTTTTATGTAGCTTTTAGTGAAATCCCATTACGTCTAACAGTAGCTTACAATGGCATTCGTCAGAATAATATTACCAGTTGTAGTTTTTCGAAATGTGGTCGATTCTTCTCGTTTGTTGATGAACCAAGAATTGTTTTGTGTTATTGTGTGAATGATCTTCTGTAAGTCTGTTTTTCTACTTCTTTTTTTTGCATAGATTGATTCTTCCTGACTGTGTGCTTTGTTTGTTCAAGATTTATGTAATTTCGCATGAGACATTCAGATTTCTTCCTTCATAATTTAAGTTTACAATTTAAGAATATAAAATGAATAAGTGAGTACAACCACATGTAGGTCCATGCATTAAGCTAATGACTACACCTGATGGAGGAGTGATAATGGAATGCTACTTGACTAAACAAACAGTTGGTGGATTATGTTTCACAACTGTGATGCATAAGCTGAACGTTTAATGCTTAAGACAATCCGCCTCAGCTTCACACCTTTGGAATGACTTGAAGTAGTTTCCTTTAAGTATCACTTTTAACTATGTACTTATCCGTAAAATTATTGTAACCAAGTTGACGATTGTATTTTTCTTTGTGAACAAATTCAAATTACTAAGACCTGTTTCTCGTCATTTTTAGATATATTAAACTACTGTTAGCTTGGATGGAGCTGTTGCTCAGTGGTTTAGGGAGATGACTATTAACCATTGGGTCACGGGTTTGAACCCTGCTCCGTGGTTTGGACAGCCAGGTAGTATCATTAACCTTCACACAATAGGTGCGTGGTTCATTGCGTACTGCACGGACGTGCACTGGGTGTCTGTGTAAGTTTCACTTTGTAAGCTTGGGTAATGAAAGTTGCATTTCTAATAAAATGGCTTGCCAAACAATAATGTAGAATGTTGTACAAAGTGTATTTATTCATAATGGGGTGGGGAAGATACACTTGACAACAGTACAGTAAGTGTTAAGGTAACAAAAATAGAAATGTAGAATCAGTGCCAAAAAGAAAATGAATAGAGAAGTGACAAATGTAAAGAGTAGCAAAATGCATAAGAACTTGAAGAAAACTAAAGATGAATAGGTTGAAATACTCTTTTATACAGTTCTCTAATTTCCTGCACAACACACCCGGGGGGAGGGGAAAGATAATCATCGCTTCAGAGCTTGATATACTTTTTTCGCTTGGATGCAATAGTACGATTGTCAGCAAAATTACCAGCAACTCGTGGTAGTATATGAGATAGTTTGCTTTTAATGTGTAACCTACTGACTGTTGAGATAGTTCGGTTAAACCACTTTGACTTGAAAACACGCCCGGTTAGTATTTCATTCAGTCAAACTTTTTATTACTAAGCTGGTAGTATTTAAGTGTTATAAATATAACTAATGTGAGTGGTGAACATCCAGTACATTGCATATTAATTTCTGATGTTTACTTCTGTTTTGTATGTACAGTTCCACTTGTTTAGATGAAAATAACTTTAAACCAACCCTTTCTCCTCACTGTCGTACTTCAAGTTTACTGTCAGATGAGGTGGGCAACAACACTGAATTGTACAGTTCAAACGAAAACTCTACAAATACTAATTGGAAGGCATTGACTTCAGAATTGCTGAATGGTGATTCATTACCAATATATATAAAGCCGATATTTCGAATAAAGGCCAATGGAGATGTAATTTGTATGACTTTTGCTGTCGGAGATAGTTCTTTCTGTCGACTACCACATCGTGCTAATAAACGCAGATCATCTGTTGTTCGTGATTCTCAAGTCTCTCTATTGCTATTGGGTTTAGCCTCTGGAGTTATCGAAGTTTATAACGTATACGGATTAATATCGAGTTCACCACGTAAGTATGTAACGCGTAGCCGACTTTATAACTTGTAAACTGATGTCTTCACATGAGAGTTGAATGCGTGACGGTCCAAGTTGCCACATATCATATCGGCGCATCAAGTAACAAAACAATAAACTGTAAGATGAAGAAGGAAACAAAATTGGTTAAAAAAAGTAGAAAGTAGTGAAGAGAGGAAGGAAGAAGGAGATAATAAGATCAAGTATAATGGTTAAACTGAAGATAATGTGTGTATGACATCGGTTCTGAGTCATGTCTCGCCTAAAGTCTCCAACCACTAGTTTCTCTTGTTCGGCGGACCCTAACCGGCTAGTCTGAATCACCCTGCATGGCTCCAACGAACAGTCAAGGACTTCATGCGTTGATGCCATGTTTTAGTCTGGCCGCCGTGAGCCTTTCTCCACCGTGAACCTTCTTCGACCAACATTTTGCGACGAAGCAGACAGTGGTTAGGCATACGTAACACATATCTTAGCCATCTTAGACAATGTTTTACCTCTCCTGCCTGAAAATTTACGTCTGACTTCTGAATTACTCATGTGGTGACACAATGAAACACGGCCTGTGCTACGAAGACAGCGGTGATCAAACACCTAAAGCTTTTTCATGCGCGTGTTTTACAGCTGTATAGTATAACAGATTGGGCTGCAGCATAGTACACTCGACCCTCAATAGACAATCGTATATCACGGTGGCGCCACAGATGACGTAAATTGGCAAAAGCCAATCGAGCTTTTTGTATCCGTGCAGAGATTTCGTCGATCACTGGTCCGCGAGGGCAGGGCTGATCTGACTTCCCAGGTGAGTGAAGTGTTTAACGCACTCAACCACTTCACGCTCTGTTGTTAGTCGGGGTACTGTTGAAGACCAGTCCTGAAGCAACAATTCGCATTCGGGTGGTGAGAGACGCATCCCAAACATTCTCAAATTGCCGCACTCAAGATGTCGAGAAGAATCCACATCTCATCAGTCAGCTTTTCACCTAATAGGATCATGTCATCTGCGTATTCTAGGTATAGGTCATTTCATCTGCTTGAGCTGTTGCCTTTTTCACGCCAACAGTTAGGGACTTCATGAACTGATGTCACGTCATGGTCCAGCCATCCTGAACCTTCCAACTTAGTCAAACAGTATCGATAACACTCAGATCGATCATCAATGGATGATCAATGTAGCTATCTAGTAATTCAGTGCTCAACACGGAACAAAAGTCTGTTGTTCACGTTCAGTAATGGAGCTACTAAGTGAAGTGATATGAAGCTGGGTTGCACTGTATTTCGGTGTTAAATGGTGGAGTCCACTCGATCGGGGGAAACCCTTGAACACAGTTTCCGTGTTTGTTGACACTCATCATCAGCAAGGTATCCGTCCAATTATGAGGAGACTGGTTTTCACTTGATGATTCAAAGCTGCGTCACCCAGTCCTGAGGTTTAAAAACTTTATCACTGAGAACTGTTCGACAAACCTTAAAATTTTTATTTTCACGCCCTCCTTTGGTATTAAAATGAGATAAAGATTACCTAGGAAGGTTTAACGTTAGGAGGATTATTTTGAATACACGAAAGGGGGTTGGACTTTCGTATACCTGAGGCTTCAATGAACCGAAGTATCTGGCCCTGACAGCTTTTATATGATAGTCTAAAGACTGTTTTCAGGGTCAATGCAATATTTTTACGTAAACGGAAGTTCAAACCCCCTTTTATGTATCAGAAGTTCTTAGAATGTTTGGTTCACAAGTTAGTTTGAAAACCTATATGTGATTGCATTGAATTTCTAGCAGTTAAGCCTAAGTGGTCGACTTTCAATCCGTGGGTCATAGGTTAGAACCCAATTTCATATACTGAGGTCTGTGGTGGGGCCTGAGGTCCTGCGTCCGATCCTCAGTGTGGGTCATTGATGAGCGCTGCTGAGGTGTCCCACTCTAGGACGGAACAAATTTTGTAGGTTTTCAATGGTCCTTCAACTGATGTCAGCCCATGATGAATACCAGCTTGAAATCGATAAATCTCCGCAAACCTAAACGGAATCATTCTTAAGTGTTTTGGTAATGTACTTGTCATTCTTCATTCAATCTCTTGTTGTTCAATCTCCATGACTAGTTTTTGATATCTAGTTATACTTAAAACATTGACGGAGCAGTGACTCAGTGATTTAGAAAGATGATTGTTAACCAGTGGTTCATGGGTTCGAACCGAGCTCCACCTACGGAGGTTTGGGCAGTCAGGTAGTGGTATTATTAGCTGCATCATGCAATAGGCGTGTGGCTCATTGCTTACTGTACGAATGCACACAAGATATCTAAGTGGGTTTCGTACGTTTATTTTCTAAAGCATAGCCGAGTCTCTGTCTACTTGTCGCATATCAAGAAATAAGAAATGTTAAAATGGTTTAACTCACTGATTGAGCACGTGGTGTTTGGTGTCCTAGGCATTGAAATCTCCGTAGATTCCATACTCATGATTCATTGTGATCAAAACCTTTTCTTTTGTATTTTATTCCTCAGGATAAATTTCCATGATACTTACCAGTTCATATTTACTACTTTGACGTTCTTTTCCTCATAGATGTCCCCAAACACGTTCTCACTGATGATTGTACTCTTGTATATCACCTCTCAGCATCAGCTGATGGAAGTCTTCGCGTGGGTTCTGTACATCATGGTGGTGAAGTAAGACTATGGGATTTATGGGATGATGGTAATATGTATGGAAAATTACGACATAAATTCACTATTCCAACAAACTCAATTATAAATCAGTCGTCTAGTGAAATTCAAGGTGAAGCATGCACTTTTGCTTGGCATCCACTTGGAAAGCATATATTCTTGGCTGGTGAACGTGGTCACGGTGTTGTGCTTGAAGTGAGTCTATATTTAGTTTTCGTACTCTCTCAGTCACATAGTTAGCCAGAAATAAATTGGAATAGTAATCTTCTTATGCCTTACTTTTCCCAGTTTGATCACTTCCTTTGCACACCGATTTTATGCAGCTATCTGCAGTTTCAAACCTTTGAGTTTGCATACGTCCTTCTAGGTGAAGACGCTGACAAAACGCAGGGTCTCCCGGACGGGTTGAGCAGAAATATGAGTATGCTCCGCTGGAGATGCGTCTCATTGGCATCTGTCAAATGTAAGATGATACTGCAGGCTGGTCTGCATCAGCCCGCCGAACGAACTGGTTTCTGACGAAATCTCAGTTCGAACAGAAAAGTTTCGTTTGGCATTCGCCAACTTGCGTCATCTGTGGTGCCGACTATCGAAATATCTATCTGTCAAACGATAAGTATGTTGTGGTGCAGTCCGTTCTCCTATTTTGAGGCTGTGAGACATGGTCGTTAAAAGAAGGGGATATTAAACGATTACAGGGTTTTAATCACAAATGCCTTCGTAGTATTGCTGGCGTTTTGTGTAATTGGCGCGGTGTGAGGAATGTTGAGGCCAAGGGAAGGGTACTAGTCAAGATGACAGGCAAGTCGATCGATGAGGTTGTGAACGTTAGCTTACTGAGATGGCTAGCTTGTAAATGTCCATCCATCCAAATCAACCGAGGACCAGACATTACTGCGTAACGGTCCGAGTTCCCACTGCTCATATCAATACATCAAATCAAAAGGCAGTGAGTTGTGAGATGAAGATAAGAAAACTCAGTCAAAAGAAATAATAAAGTACTAGAAGAGAGAAAGGAAGAATGAGAAAATGGTGAGATTCAGTATAGCATCGTTAAGATGAGGATAATGTGTGTGTGGGGATACATCTGCGCTACTGACATTGGTTCTGAGCCATGTGATCACCTAGAGACGGTCTCCAACCACTGATTTCTCTTGTTCCGCGGACCCCAACGGTTAGTCTGCATCGCCCCACATGGTTGAAATCATCAGTCAGAGACTTCATACATTGATGTGATGTGTTATTCTGGTAGCCGTGAGCCTTTTTCCACCATGGACCTACTTCGGCCAGCGTTGTGTGACGAGGACATGCACAATGCATGGGGGTCTACCGCCTACCTCGACGTGCTGTGCTACGGGCTGATTGGGTTGGGAGAGGGGTGAGCATGGAGAGACCGAGATGTGGTACCAGTCGATGTAGGCGTTGATTGTTGGTCCAAGCCGTGTGGGAGAAATGTAGACTATCCGGCCGGTCTTTTTCTGTTTACTTGTTTTTCTTTATCTAATGCTTTGAAGTGTGGGAAATTGAACAGATCCATTTGTATAGGAGGTTCTATGTTGGTTGTGTCAGTCTTGAGATGAAAGTCGTCAGATTTTTGTTTTACAAAATGTAAAATTCTGAAGTTGTTGTAATCACATGATTAATGAATGCACGTTAGTTAGCGAATTGATAGGCTGTGTGTGACAGTGGTTAGTGATTCGTTATTTTCTGAGATGTAAATCTCCACTAGAATTGAAGTGAAGTTTTATGAATACGATTCAGTTGTCTGTCTTGACCTTAAACTAAATAATCAGCTTTTCCTGGTTGGATTGCACTGCCGAATTAAATGTAGATCTCTTTTACTGTATAATAAATATAAAAATGTATTAGAAAATGCGTTATCCCAGTGGAAAAAATCGAACTACACTCAGAAATCTCTTGCTCATTCGTACAGTAGGCAATGAAACATACGTATTCTCTGAGGGCTAACTGTCCAGCAGACGAACAAAATCAACGTAGAACCTCCCCATACAAGTACATCAGGTCAAGTTACCGCGCTTCACAGTGTGGCATATAAAGAAAAAGAGGGCAGATAAAGAGTGTTGCCAAAGTAGACAAAGTTGTGGGAGAAAGTGAACAATTTGAAGATGAAGGTTAGCGCAAAGATTCAAGCTTTAGAAGATTTTAAAGAAAGAATACGTCTGCGCCGATTTTTAGCCATACCACCAAGAGTCCTTAACGACTGCTTCCTTTCGTCTCAGAGACACCAGCCAGCCAGTCCACATTGCCCTCAAACGACTCAGACCAATGGTCAGAAACTTCATTGACTGCTACTACATCTTAGTGTTGCCACCCTGAACCCTCTTCTAACCTACTCCGACTTCTCTTAGCATCACACGTCGAAGTAGGCAGTGGCTTGTTCTGTGCAGTAGTACATGTATGAGCCACCTCAGATGATAAAGGTCCGCAACCTTATCAGCCAACCTGCCTGTCTTGACTAATACTCTTCAATTGACCTCATTATTGCTCACACGTTGGTTATTTCACTAAGCGTGAACAATGAAGAAGACACCTGTGATCAGAACTCTAACCACTTTATCTCCTCTATTTCTAACGTTCATATTTCACAAGGGCTAGTTATTCTTCCTGGCTATCCAAACTTCGGTAGGTGGATCGGGATTTCGACCCCCGACCTGCTGGTTGAAAGTTAACTCTCTAAAATGTTGAGCCTCACTTCCACTGTTTTCTTGAACCTTGCTGTCGAACCTGTGGAAATAACTTAAAGCTTACATCTATCGATGTATTCTTTTTGTTCCATGAGATATCCGCATACCTTTTGGATAATTTCTCTGCGAGAAATACTAGAGCTGTAAGTCAGGTACGCTATCAGTATTGGTCTTTAAAGTATACTACATCAATGTAGAGGGTAGCTAAAGTTCGCTTTTCTTCTAGAAATCCTATCATAAAACCTATACCTATGCCACGCAAGTCGTATTTATCATCTCCGTGTGTTTCCACACAAAGAAAATGAGTTGGTAAGAGGGGATCTGACACTTATCTCTGGATCGAAAGGTGCATTTGGAGTGGGGGGGGAGCTTTAGAAAACCGTGTTATCCATCCAGTGGTATATACAGAATCCAAGGAAAATAAGCAGCATATGAATCTATTCTAGTCACCTGCAATCATAAGAAAGAAATCCGGAAATTGCTTTTCTGTCTTTTACAACAAGCCTCAAGTAAAAGAGTGAAGAAGCAACAATCACTGTCTAGGGGTGCCTGCGTGGTATCTTAGTTCTTCCATAAACCATAAAAATAAAAGTGTAATGAAAATTTAAAAGCGCCTGTTTAATGCACTTCTTATTGACTATGTTATACCAAGTTTTTGTTAAAATGATAAAAGCAACAAGTTTGATAGACAAGAAAAGGCTGTCATAACTCACTAGTCTTGTAGATAAAGCTTTGGCGTTTTGGGCGGTGTGTTGGGTTTCATCTCTATCCAACTGACGAGTCCTAAATAGGACGAGACGTACATCTGACATTCCACTGCTAGCCACTATTCCTCCCTCATCATCTTGAAGGCATAATCCGATTATTCATATCAACGTCGCATAAAGAGAGACAAGTATGTAGCATCTTAATATATGCTGCTAATGAAAACAGATGAATGTAGATGACCTGTTTAATCATTCACTGGTGTTATTGTAGAGAGTTTCATCTTTGATACTGCCTGTGCATAGTGTGAATGGGAAAATAGTTGGTTATTATGTCTACTGTTGTCACAAAGTAAAGTTCGCTTACAGTGGATTTGGCTCAAATAATACCTTAAGCAGTTAATTTTCAAGCAACAAGTCCTTGGTTCAAACCTCGCTTCACCTTATTTATTCTGCACGGCCAAATAGGAATATCATAAGCCAGGCTACACATAGAAAACGTTTACTTTATAGCCTAGTTATATAAACACCTGAATTGTATCGTTAGTTAAACAGTAAGTGAAGTTTTCTCAACTTTTATATGATATTATTATCATTATTATTTACCTTCTACTTTATTTTAGGCAGAGTCTCCTTTTTCTCGAATTGCTTATATTAGGTCTGGTCACTATCATAGAATATCTGTTGCCAATTATTCTAAAGATGGGAGTTTATTGATTACTGCCTCCTATGATTCTTGTTGTGCTGTGTGGTCGGTTCCTGAATATCAATGCTTACATCGTTACTGGTTAGTAGTTGTGTTGTTTTTTTTAAACGAGTTATTGTAATATATGATAGTTATTTGGTCAACTTTGCTGTGATGTAGTTTGAGGTTGATGGTGAGGTTGTGAACCTTCAGTGTCTGAAGTGGCTCGGGCATTTACTCCGCATACCGAGCTACCAATTACCTCAATGTGCCATGGTGGAGAAGGTTGGATTAGGTTGTAAGAGAGTTCAGGATGGCGAGACCAAGATGTGACACCAGCCGATGTAGTGCCTGATTGCTGGTAGGAGCGGTGTTAGATGTACACTACATGCCTAGGATCTTCGAGGCCATAGGAATCTGTAGTTGAGGATTCTTGATGATATGGTTGGAAATTGGTGACAGTGACGAAAATGTATTCAGTTCTTGACATCTTCTAAAGCTTGAATATTTGCACCAACCGCTATCTGCAGGTTGTTTATTCTGTCACACAACTTTATCTACTTTAGCATCAGTCTTTTTCTACCCATCTGTTATTTGCATACTACTCTGCGGTGTGGCAACTAGAACCGATGCACTTGTATTGGGGGTGTTGATCAGATGATATTTTGAAAGATAGCGTTTCCTTTTTATGTGAACACTGGCACAGTGGTAGACATGTTCCCACCTCAGGTTTGTTTATTTTATTGATGACACTGACATAACATTCAAGTGCAGATTTTTAGAAATATGGTTGGAATAAAAATCTGGGCCGCATCAGTATTCGACCTAGTGACTTTCGGGATGCGGTTATCTTAGATAATCAAACTGAAAATTCCAACGAAACCAATGGATTGAGTTATACTATGCTGTAACACACTGAAAGTTGATTGCTTTTTTTCAGTATCACTGATTTCATGTCTGTGAGACCTCCTGGATAATTCCCTGAGTTTGTTATGTGATGACAAAATGTTGTGGAGATTTATCTTGGAGACGTTTGCTTATATTGTGAGAATTTAATGGAAGCGATAACATTTTTTATCCACCGAAAACCTGCCGGTCGCTGGTTCGAATCCGGTCGCAGTCCAGGTTTTCTTTCCACCTTCAATCATTACCCAGTATTAAACACAATTCAGTTTACTGTGTCATTTTCATCTCATCATCGTATAATTCCATTGCTAAGGAGCGAATAAGCCAAAGAAATCATCATCTCCACTCTTATTGCAGTATATAACACATATCTTTCAACATCTTGTAATCCTTCGTGTCGCTTTCCATATACCAATCTGAAGTTATAGTTTATTGGTTTAGGGGACTGATTTTCAACCAATGGTCGGAGGGTTCGAACATCAATCCACCTACCGAGGTTTGTGCAACCAGGTAGTAATATCATTAAACCCCCCCCCCCCCACACACACACACATTAGATATAGTTCATTGCCTTTAGCGCAAATGTGCACAAGGTTGCTGAGTGTATTTTGATCCTGATTTCTTTTACTTACCCATACCTGGTTTATCTAAGTTACCAAAATAATGTTTATAGAACCAGTGTAGGGAAGTATTACTAACATAAATGCTTTGAAAGTGACTAAATTGCAGTTCGCTCTGTCTTGTTATACTTCTGTAAAACAATGGCCGCTGCGATAACAGGGATTTCATCTCATATGTCTTTGTAGCACTGCTCGCCTTTGGTGGGATCACCGTATGAGCAATCTTGAGGTCAGGTGAAGGGTATTGGGTCAAACAAGCAAGTTGGTTGATGAGGTTGTGAACCTTCAGTGTTCCATGCTGGAAAAGGTTGGATTAGGTTGTAAGAGAGCTCAGGGTGGCGAGAGCAAGATGTGGCACCAGTCGATATAGTGCCTGACTGTTGGTGAGAGCGGTGTGAGGAGATGTACACTACGTGTCTGGGGTCCTGGGGTGATAGGAATGATGGGTTGGGGACCCTTAATGACATTGCTGAAAATCACAGTGGCGCAGATATATTCACAGCTTGAAGGTAGCGGTTAGTACAAATACTCAAGCTTTAGAAGACGTCAACGAGTGAATACATCTGCGCCATTGTCACCGATTTTCAGCCATATCACTGGGAGTCCTCAACCACCCCAGCCAGATAGTCTACATCTTCCCCACACGACTCAGACTAAGAATCATCGACTGGTGTCATGTCTTGATCTGGACTTCCTGTACTCTGTTCCAATCTAATCCAACTTCCCCTTAGCATGGCACATCGTTGTAGGCAGTCGATCCGCATGTGCAGTGTATGTCCGAGCTATCTTATTTGACTAAAGTCCACTTGCCTGTCTTATCTGGTACCTCTCACATAACGTCAACATTGCTCACGTGGCGGTGATTCCACCAAACGCCAACAATGCTACGAAGACACCTTTTATCAAAAACCTACTTTTAATGACCATGTATCGCAGCTGTACGACACGATACAATGGACTGTAGTGTAGTATACTCGTCGTTTGATAGGTAGTTAGATTTCTCATCAATCAGCGCCACAGGCTGTGCAACTACTAAATGTGCTTTCACTATCTTAGCTCAGATTTCGTCAGCAGTAATAGTTATACGAAATTAAAAGCTTTATAAAAGCAACTGCTCACTTAATTCACTCACATATGCTCAAAAAAAGCCTCAATTTTTGAATAATAATAATTCCCCTAGAAATCACACATCTACAGTCTTCACTTAAAGCATACCGAATGCAGATATAGCAAACTGAACTAGGCAAAATAAGCGTCAACAGTACTGAAGTAAAATGAAATATCCATCTCATACTAGTCTTAATCTTTTTTTTCTGTCTAGGCATATGGGCCGTGAGCCTAGTATTCCTCTTCGCGGAGGATCAAATGGTCATCATATTTACGATTTAGCTATTTCTCCAGACGATTTCTGTTTTGTAACAATCTGTGAAGATAGGTGGGTGTAGTTTGTTTTTTTCGAATTGAAAACGAATTTATTAATAATTTCATTTTTTTAACTTGTTGATGTATAATGTATGAGAATATTAGGTAACTATTTTGTTGTAGTATAAGACCATTCGATAGTGCATACTTGGAGTCCCACACATATTCGTAGTTAGCCAATATGTACACTGCAAGTAGTTTCTCCATCCATCCATCCAAATCAACCGAGGACCAGACATTACTGCGTAACGGTCCGAGTTCCCACTGCTCATATCAATACATCAAATCAAAAGGCAGTGAGTTGTGAGATGAAGATAAGAAAACTCAGTCAAAAGAAATAATAAAGTACTAGAAGAGAGAAAGGAAGAATGAGAAAATGGTGAGATTCAGTATAGCATCGTTAAGATGAGGATAATGTGTGTGTGGGGATACATCTGCGCTACTGACATTGGTTCTGAGCCATGTGATCACCTAGAGACGGTCTCCAACCACTGATTTCTCTTGTTCCGCGGACCCCAACGGTTAGTCTGCATCGCCCCACATGGTTGAAATCATCAGTCAGAGACTTCATACATTGATGTGATGTGTTATTCTGGTAGCCGTGAGCCTTTTTCCACCATGGACCTACTTCGGCCAGCGTTGTGTGACGAGGCAGACGGTGACTAGAGATACGTGCTACGTGTCCCAATCAGCCGTCTCAGTCGATGAGGGTTCACAACTGTGTCAACTGACTTACCTCTTCTGTCTTAAAGCCCTTGTCTGACTTTTGCGTTACTCACGTAATGAGACCAGGGAATGCGGCCTATACTACGAATGCATGGGTGGTCAAATGCCTAAGGCCTTCTCATGTCTTCCACCTTCAGTGGCCATGTTTCACAGCCATATATTAGAACAGATGGAACTGCTGTGCAGTGCACGTAACCCTAATAGACAATCGGATATCACAGGTGGCGTATGTTGGCAAAAGCCGGCAGAACCTTTTGTATTCGTGCAGAGATTTCGTTGGCAACTAACCCACCAGGGATAATCCAGCTTCCCAGGTGAGTGAAGTGGTCGACACGCTCACCCACTTCCACTCTCGATTGTTACCCATGGCATCGTTGAAGACCAGTCCTGGAGCAACAATTTCGATGTGAGTGGTGAGGAACGCTTCCCAAGCATTCTCAAATTGCCATTCAAAGTGTCCAGAAGACTCTGAATCTTGTCAGCGTCTTCACCTAACAGGACTATATCATCTGCATATTCTAGGTCTAACGAAAACTCCCGCGATTAGGTCAACCTATTCATAGTAAGACGACGAGAAGGAGACCTCCATCAGAGAATCGATGATAAAATTGAATAGGAATGGAGAGAGTGGACATCCTTGACTGACACCACTCGACGAGCACAGCTCCCCAGATATCTCACCATGGGCTCTAACACGCCCACAAGTATTGGAGTGGAGAGCCCTCAATAAGGTCATGTACTTAATCGGCATGACTTTCAGTGGGAGGCTTTGCCATAAGACTTCTCGATCAACGGAGTCGAATGTCGCCTTCAGGTGGAGAAATACAGTTATTGTCGGCCATCGGTAAGCGTGAGACCGGGTCTAAAACCTGCCTGGTTTTCTCGCGCTTGCTGATCCCGAGCTTAACTCAGACGTCGAAGAATTGTGGAGCCTATAATTTTAGATACTATGTTCGTCAGGCTGATTCCTCTGTGGTTATCATAAGAGGACCTCTCGCCTTTCTTGAGGACTGGAATAATAAGTGATTTAGACCAGTCAGGGGGGGACCATATTTAACTCCCATACACTAGTTCATACTTCAGTTAACTTGACTAAAATCAGTCTACTGTCGTACTTATATACCTCAGGAGTTAGTCCGTCTGGACCTTCTGCCCTTCATCGTTCCAAGTTACTTACCGCCTTCTCGACTTCTGCCTATCTCAATGTTCCATTTAGGACGCGACTGGATAGGGGGCGACGCAGTGGTGGCGGGAGGCCAGTTAAACTGTTCCTCGAAGTGTTCTGCCCATCATTTTAGTCGTCTCCCTTGCGAGCAAATCGCAGGCTCATGCTCCCCCCAGAATACTCATCCAGTTTTGAGAAGTTGCAAAGTCAACATTCTTTTCCTCATAAAAGTTTGGTTGTGGTAATCCTGAGAAACATAAATCTGTATCCTTAATGTCTGTAGCTAGTTACTTTATGTGAAGTTTATTATCCTACCATATTATAACCAGCTGTTCAGTGATAATGTGGTTCGTGTGTAGAGGATGGATAGATGCACATCAAATCCACTCTGCCATCTTCCATAATTCATTATTTCAGGATGTGTTGTGAACGTCTCTATCACATTTTTTCCCCAACTCATAGACTGCCTACCTATACGGCTGTTTTTTTCCCCAGGTACCTGACATAAGCCATATATATGTCGCCACAGATGTTGACGCTTTCGGCATTACACAAGTAAAAAGTTTTCTACTCCAAGTTGACTAACTCTTCAGAAAATAAACTTCAATAATTGTCTTTTAGATAACTCAACAGTAACACAGTCTAATTTCCTGAAGTTCTTTTTAACTGATTAAAGAAATTTAGTGTTTGAGGCGATGGGTACGAGGTTGAAGTCTCAGTAGGAACAACATTACTCACTGGGGTGCAGGTGTGTATCCAGCAGATGAGTCTGACTTAGAGCGAAACGTCCATCCTGGATTCCAGTACTAGGTAATACCGAGTCAATAATAACAGTAAAAATGTCCAGGCAATATCAAGACATCCTCATAATATCAATTCTACCCAGTATAATAACGTAGACAAGTATAGTAACAAATAACTTGGTCGAGCTGATATGTAATATCGAGCAGTTGTTCCTGGATGTTATTAACTGAACTGAATGCAGTGCAAGTTGAATAATATGATGATTTAGATCACTCAATATACGTAATGGAGTCCTACTGGAGGTGAATCTCGGCCCGAATAGCTCAATGGTAATGTCTCTAACTGTGACACTAGGTAACACGGGCTCCAATCTCAGGTGGGACATCAGTTCCGTTTAGGTGTCAGATGCGCCTTACTGACGAGTCCCAACAAGCACGAGATCCAGGTCGATCAGGACTTCCTACCGATCACCTCCAACTAACTAACACCCCCATGTTTTTAGATCGGTTGTTCAAACAGAAGTTAGCTCGCATATTGTAGCTTTTCATTGTAACCGATAACAAAATTACACTACGAAAAGATGGAATGGTTATAAATATCAAGATAAGGCTAGGCATTACCTCAAATTGGTCCAAGTTGCCACATCCTCATATCAGGACATCAAATAACCAAGGAATCAGATGAAGAATGAAGAAATAAAGAAGAATCCGTCAAAAGCAGTTAAAAAGTAGGTAAAAGAGACGCGGGAAGAATGAAAAAAAATACCAAGTTCTTTATAGCGATTAAGATAAAATTTGCATACATCTGCGCCACTGACATCGATTCTGAGGCATATCTCACCTAGAGTCTTCAAACACCAGTGTACGACAGGTGCTCCTTTTATTCACATGCAGTACCAATAGATCTCTATTGAGGTAGTTGAATTTGTCATATTTTGTCAAGAAACATGTTTACAGTCCGGATACTAATGAGTTTCCCAGTGTTCCAGGATTTACTGAACAGTACAGATTTCATTGAAATTAGTGTTGTTCCTGAGCTAGCTGCCCAAATTGCGGTTCGAATGCGTCACCCATTTGTTGACAGTCAACTCTTTAAACCAATGAGGTACGAATCATCCGTTTGTAGTTGTCAAACCACGATTTCTTCCCGGATAAACAAAATACAATATTATTGTCTAAATGCAAAATCTCTAAAATCCTTCACGACTGATCAACTTACTCGAAACTTTCAACAGCAACGAGAAAAGATATACAATCATACATGTAAATATTAGATTCCTTAAAAGCGTATAATCATTAGAAAATGATCTCGTAGAGGAGTCTGAAGATGGCCAAGGTCATCACATACATTATACCACTGAACTTTTGGGCATAGTTAACCTTACACGATCCACCTGTTGTCTAGTCGACTTTTTCCACTTCTAAGGAATGAAACGATTATCAAGTTGAAACTCTGAAATTATTTATGTGAATGACGGATAGTGACTAGTAGTGGAATTCAACATGCGCGTTTCGTCCTATTTGGGACTCGTCAGCTGGACGTGTACCTGCTTCCCATGTGAGTGATGTTCTCACTAGTACTGGAACTCGGGACGGAATCGCCTCAAACACCAGAGCCGTTAGCCACTAGACCATCGAGTCACAGTAGCCATCTCTTATGATGTGCGTCTTCATGTTACTGATTTTGTCAGCATTAAAAGATATGTACATGTTGTACCATTATTGCTGATACTGTTTGCTTGAAAATGTCTTGTTAAGGAAAAGTAGAGTTATGTTATTTGAATGAAGGAAATCGACGAAAATCTCTTATCTAAACCCTGAACCTCGGTTTCGTGCTTTTCAGCATTTGTCAGGTTCGTGTATCTACGTCGACAGAATTGATGTCCCCTTAAGATTCGAACCCGTGTCATCTAGTCCTTCAGTCAACGGTATTACCACTGAGCTACTCAGGCTACAGTTGACCTCCTGTAGGACTTGGTTACATACCAACTAACATCTTACTGCATCGTGATGGCGAGTCTCCTAATCTGGTGACTACAATGTAAAATGATCAACAGAAGTCGACCAGTACTTAGGACTAGTGGCCAGTCAATGAAAAAGTAGAGTTCGAATAGGGCATGGCAAATTAGGAACTGCAGTGATCCTCTCTCTCTCTCTCTCTCTCTCTCTCTCTCTCTCTCTCTATATATATATATATATATATATATATATATATATATATATATATATATATATATATATTACAAATATCTAGAAGAAGTTATTTTCAGTTAAACTACTGAGATAAGTGCCGTGGTTTGGTAGACTTGTATTACTCATACTATATGTTGGTTAGAAGCGAAACTGAAAATTTAGACCAGGACAGGGTTCGAGCCCAGAAGGTAGTTGGTTAGGAGTTCTTTCATGAGAAAACTGATAACAAGTGTAATTTCCGCGTCGTTTTTCTACAACTAACTTATCGTGTGTTATTCTTTTGTTTCTTTTAAATCATTTTTTATAGATGCCTTCGTCTATGGCCATTAGCTCCTATGAACTCTCCATTGAAGATATATTTTGAGCTTGCACTTCAGGCAAACTCTGGTTTCAAATTTCGAAGTATAGCCTTCAGTCCATGCGGTCGTTTAGTTGCTGTTACGTGAGTGTTTTAATCCTACTATTTATGTGATGATGCTTGTAATGGTCATAGTTTTAAGCTTTACTTCAATTATTTAGTAGTATCCAGGTGACTACACCATTTTGTGGTGTTTTGACATGGAATTGTGAAGTAATTTCCGGGCTACTTTAAAGACCACCCTCACAACTGATATATGAGTCAGGATCTTGCTAAAAGCCATAAGAAGACATCCAGTAGTTGAACAGGCGTATTAGTCACACATTCCTCTAAAGCCGACTCAACAGTTTTTGACATAAGCACATTGTATTTATTAAAGTGTAAGGTTGTTCAGTAGTCAAATATACAAGACGTAATAGAATTAGATTGACTCATTCAATAATTTGATGGTGGATGAGCCACTTTCAAGACCATCTTAACAAATGCGGAGACAACTAATCATGTTTCTTCATTTTAAAAACAACTACATTCTGAGTCAAAATACTGAAACCTGATTGGTTATTTCATCAGTTGCCAGGGTGGCCTTTAAAGTCACTCCAAAAATGAGGGGTTGGTTTCAAAAACGACCAAGCAAGTTCTAAAATGACTAATCACGCTCTTGTAATTTTATAGAAAAAAACTATTTCTTAGACTGAAATGGAGGAACGTAAATAGTTATTCCTATAGTTGCTAGGGTGGACATTACAGTCATTCCTAAAGACAATTTGCCGATGTATGTAGAAATAGTATCCGAATAATTACAAATGGGTTTCAAGGTCACCCTAGTTGCTACGGCAATAACGAATCAGATTTTGGCATATCGACTAGGTGGTTAGTTTTTATAAAGTAAAGAAACGTAATTGACTATCTCAGTAGTTGTTAGGGTAACCCCTTAAAGTCAGTAAATAATCACTAACCCTTTTAGAAGAGGCTTTAAATGCTTTAAATGATCAACTAGGCTCTTGATTTCATGCAAAAACTACCTTCTGAGGTGGATTTCTGTTTTAAAGTGAATGTAAAAAGAATCCAAGTTTTCGAATACAGGTGACTTCGTAGCATTGCTCACGCATGGTGGAATCACCAGGTGTGCAATATAGAGGGAGGCTAGACGAAAGGTATTGGTCAAGACAGGCAAATCGATTGATAAGGTTGTGAATGTTTACCAACTTAGGTGGTTTGAAAATGTGCTGCGCTTGTTGAGCCACCGTCTACCTCTACGTGTAATGCTAATGGAAGCTGGACTAGATTGGAAGGGAGTTCATGGTGACTTGTCAACAGTCTAGAAAGTCTCTGATTGTTGGTCTGAACTGTGAGACGAGTTGTAGACTGCCTGCTTGGGGTCATCTGAAAACAGAGGTCGGGCAATTCGATCCTGTATAGCAACAGGAAATCGCAAGTATCATTGCAACGACTGAAACCCTTTGCAAAAGAGATGGCGATCGGGCCCCAGTGGCTTAGTGGATAACTCTCTGGCGTTTGAAGCGAAGGGTACTGTGTTCCAGCCTCGATGGGAGCAATATCACTCACTGAGGTGCAGGTAAATCCAGTCGACGAGTTTCGAATAGGACGAAACGCGCATCTTGGAGTCCATCTGCCAACATCAGAGGTTAATCAATTTGGCCCCGTATAGCAACGGGAAACTAAAAGTATCATTACTACAATTAAACAACGTAGTTTAGAGAATACAACACAACCAAGATTTATCCGTCCACCTGAGCTACAAATACTTTTCATCATTTCAATATATAATCATTGTGTACTGTGAAGTGGTACAGCTGTGCAGTAGGTGTGGTATATCTTTTACGAAAATCTTCTTTTATAGATATTGGTTCATTGGAAACACAAAAGTGTTTGATTCCATTTCATGCACTTATGGATTGTTGATTAGTGCCTAACTTGTTCAAAAATTTGTTATCAAGCCTATCCGGCAGTAACAAATTGCTGTTTTTACTTGTCTGCACTGGTCTGCAACTAGTCCCAGATTAATAGTAGGGAGTGAAGTGGTGGGATGTGTCGACCACTTACTTGGAGAGTTGTATCAGCCGGAACGGACTGGTTACTGATGTAATCTCTGGTCGAAAAGAGAAGGACCGCCTAGGGTTTCCCAACTTGCGTCACTTGTGGCGTCGGTGAGATATTGTCCTATCAATCAAAGGGCGCGTATACTGTGCTACAGTCCATTCTGTCCTGTTATATGGCTGTGAGACATGGCTGTTAAAAGTAAGAGATGTAAAGCTGTTATAGGTTTTCGATCACAGTTGTCTTCATATTATTGCTCGAGCCGGGTGGAATCAGTGTGTGAGAAATGCTGGCGAAAGGTACTAGGCAATTCGATTGATGAGGTTGTGAACCTTAGTCGACTGAGATGACTCGCTTGGACATGTGTTGTGCATGCCGAGCTAAACAAAGACGTGACACCAGTCGGTGAAGGCGCTGACTGTCGGTCGTTTAAAGCTTGAACACTTACACTAACCGCTGTCTTCAGTTTGTTTATTCTCTCGCACAACTTTGCCTGGTCTAATATCACTCTTTTCCTACTAAATGTGGTAACTTGAGGCGATGCGCCTGTCTGCGAGGTTCTACGTTGATTCTATCTGTCTATCTATAGATACTGTATTGTTGCGTTAAAGTATTTCTACCAAGAAGAAAGGTAAGCCAAAGCGTAAAGTTACCGGAAAGATATGCTGAATAAATCACATTATTTACCAGTGAGAACACATCAGAGGAATGAGGAAATGGCCTATCGGATGAGGGGTAGTTTCAAGGAGTTTTGACTGAGTATGATAACTATACATTGAACATAGTTTGCTTCGTCCTTCAAAGCCTATGCGATTGGATGGTAACACTTCTTCCTTTTTACCAGGAACATCATGCCACACTACTCAAATGTTTTCTTTTAAGTAGCAAACACCACAGTATGACAGGCATCTCATGTTCGTTTTTACAGCATTTTGTTTAATTTGTTCTTGTTTACTAGTGGTGATGTATTGACTTTTCTTTGTAATTTTAGATAATCTGTGTTTTTTTTCTTAATTGTCCCTGGTATACGCTAGATTAACTTCTCTTCATGATGTTTATGTTTACCTACCCCCTCCTCTTTTTATATATAGTACCAATGACCATAGAGTGCTGTTGTTTACAACACCATCGGAATTAACTCGACTGAGTACACAGTGTTTTCATACAATTCGAAAAAGTGTTCTTCAAAGGCTGTTAGAAGACTTTTCTAATCAGTATGAAAAATATCAGCGCAGTAGTATTGCAGTGAATACTACTACTAATAGTAATAGTAATAATGGTGGTAATTATTGTACAGTATTCCAAAGTTACATTTCTCAACTACATCTGCCTTTCCCGGTTAAGAAAACAGTTTTGAGAAATTTTATAAATTAGCACGAATACGTATTTCTGACTACTGTATGTGTTTCTATGTCTTTTGCCAGCCCACTTTGTGTATGCTGCTCCCTGTATCATTCTATCGTGACTTCAAGATTTTTTATTCCACTGTAATTTCGTTTTTGATTTTTTCGCCTCTCTCATATGTGTAAACATGTGTTATGTTCGTGTTATAACCCATGTCGCCATTTGTTATATCCTTGTCAGTCATCACTTGATATAACCTGAGTTATATGTGTATATAGATATGGACGTTTGAGCAATAACCTTGAGATTCCCCTCCTTGGAGGTCGTTCATTTTCTCGTCAAATGGAAACGGCGTAAGATATCAGAAGGTGTATTGTAACATCAGAAATACACATACATACACAAAGGTACAAATACACGGGTTTAAATAGTTTTACAGTGACCTTGGCTGTTCTCAGGCCTTTTACAACACCATCTTATTCTCCATCTCTATTTCACAGGTGTATTATAGTGTGCGGAAAGATTGAAAAAATCTTCATAAGTCGTCTATCTCTGAACCCATTTACAACCAATTATGTTGCGCCGAAGTGATGAGAGAAAGCACGTGAATCAACATGTCGATATCAGATTGGTTGTGAAAAGATAAAAAAATCAATAGGATTTAAATTGAAAAAGGCTTTGATGTAGCCAAGGTCACTGCAAACATATATAAGCCTGCGTATTTTGTAAATCTATGTATTCGAATTTACAGTACACCTTCTACTATCCTACCACCTTTTCTATTTATCAAGTGGACAAAACGACCTTCTACAAGTGAAATCTCAGCTTCATTGTTCAAGCGTCCATATATATATATATATATATATATATATATATATATATATATATATATATATATATATATATGTAATCCAGGTTATATCAAGTAGTCACTGACAAGGATAATAACAAGTGGTGACGGGTTCACAACAGTTTATAGTAACAAAAGGATGAATTTTACAGCTTAGCAGTTTTTCGAGGAAACAGCATACCTACCACTCCTGTTTAACGTTACTTACTAATCGATTCTGTCTATTTTATCTGCTTAATAAATGTATATAGTATCTGTGATAGGTTATCGTTTTGCAGTAGAAGTAGTCAGTTGTAAAAGGCGGTAGAAGTGATGACTTTCCTTCTTTGTAAATCCAGTGAAGTAAATCATGACGAAACTGACACATTGATATCACCATAAATTAATCTGTCTTTCTTCTCTTTATTTGTTTTTATTCATTACCTGTACAATTGATCATATTCAGTTAGTGTACATGTATATTGACTGAAATGAATTCATGAAATAAATTATCATTAGTCAGTAGATTTTATTTTGTTAGCTAATGGATGTCATTTAATCATTCGAAAGCTGAAAGAATCATCAGTTTTCTCTGATTGTAACGATATGGAGTGATGATTCAAGATGAAATGAGCTGCAGTGGTTTACACATTGTTGCTTCAGAACTGGTCTTCAGGTATGTCTTGTCTAAGAATAGAGAGTGAAGCGGTTGAGTGTGTTGAACACTTCACTTACATAGGAAGTCGAATCAGCCGTAATGGGTCGGCCACTGACAAAATCTCTACCAGGATATGAATGGCTCTACTGCCTTTCGCCAACTTACGCCATCTGTGACGCCTCCGTGACAGCTGGCTGTTTATTAAGAGTCGAGTGTACTGTACTGCAGGTCGTTCTGTCCTATTGTACGGCAGTGAAACATGGGCATTGGAGGTAGAGTACATTAAAAGGCTTCAGCTGTTCCACCAGTGTCGCCTCTGTAGCAGAAGCGTGGTGTGTCGGGTTGTCCACCACTTGAGTAAAGCATAAGTCAGGTGTAGGATCTTAGAGAGGACAGGAAAGTTAGTCGATGAGCTTATGAACCTACAGTGACTGACATGACATGCGTCATGTAGGCCTATTTACCGTCTGCCTCGTCGCACAATATTGGATGAAGTATATTCAGGCGGCGAAAGCTTAGCGGCTGCTAGGCTAATACATCACATCACTGTATAAAGTCTCTGACCGATGGTTTGAGTCATATAGGGTGAAGCAAACTAGCCGGTTGGGGTCTGCGGGACAAGAGAAACCAGTGGTTGGAGAATCTAGATGAGATATGGCTCAGAATCGATGTCAGTGGCGAAGATGTGTGCACACTTTATCTTCATTATCAGATGTTCTAGCAACTAATCTATTAGAAGTATTGACATCAGATTGTCTTATTAATATTCTCTAATATCATCGGGATAGTAAAAAAAGCATTTGGAATAGGAAATATCTAATAGAAAGGATTCACACAAGTCATAGTTTACACTTTCTACTCTTTCTTATTTGTCTGTCTTTATGAAGACACTATCAAGCGTAGCTATGAACCATACTTGCTGTGGTCAATTATGTCTTATTGGTTAAGACGGTTGACTTTTTAAACCTAATGCATCGTGGGTTCGAACCCAGCTCCACCTACCGAAGTTTGGGCAGCTAGATACTTTTATTAGCCCTCATGCCGTAGATGTGCCTCATTGCCTACTGCGTGGATGTGCACACGGCTCTAGCGGGCATTTCGCTTTGACCTGTTGTTATGTAAGAGCTCTGATGCTACCTAACTCCTGGTAAGGTGAAGTGGAGTTCAGATTTTTAACCCTCTGGTACGAAGTTGAGTTCGGTAACCAACAAGACAACCTATTTCCATGTTATCTACATAGTGGTAATCGCTGCGAACACTACCATGTGGGACAGCCAGGCAGAGCAGTATTACAACGCATACATGTGTACAAGTCAACTGTCGAATGTCATGATATGAAGTGTCTCTTCTCAATACACTATGACAACCACATATTCGACTGGGACAACTTCAAAATATTCAGGGAAAAGTCACTGTGAACAACGCTGAGTGATATTGTTGAATGAAAGAAGTAATAATAATCATCACTTCATTCCAAACAATTTGGAGTTCTCAGCATGATATATTGCAACAACAACAAAATAGATGTGTATATATATCCTCCTTCACAATATTTCGAATGGTGTTATTATAGGAACTTAGGTAAAGAATATTAAAAACGAGAACATTTTACATTGTTGCTTAAGGTATTGAAATGAGATTGTTAACGGTTACAAAGCTGATATGTGAGTTCTATTTCGTAACACTTTTTACTCACATGATATGCGTGCTAGGTGAGGTATAGTCAAAATTCTAGTACTTGGCTGTACGAGCGTACACTTCCTATACAGTTTCTTCTTGTCCTCCATAAGGAAATACAAGAAGAGAGCTGTGAATGAAGTGGATGTTCAGTGTCAGTGAAAATTACTGTAGCTAGTTGCTTGCTAGAATTTAAATGTCTGTCAACTACAGTGTTAATCAGTTGGGCCAGAGGCACAACACTCACCTTACTGACACCTTTCAAAGCCCTACGCAATATAACATAGTCCTTTTTTAGTAGACCAGGAAAAATCAATGGGGAATAATAGAGAAGAATAGGTAAAATGCAGGAATTAGTAAATTATAAACGTTGCAGTTAACTTATAACAGACAGCCTCAATTTTTTTACATAACACGTTAAACGAAAGATGTTGTTGGAACAAGATATGAGACGATTAACGGGGATCAGATGTAAAACTCAATCCAAGATAGTTAACACTCGATTTACTTTCTGCAGAAACATCATGAATGCTGCAACAGGCGTCATGGAACTTAGGCAGCTCACACAAGTCTTGTTGATGCCTTAGGCGAAGATTAACAATCTGACATTTAGAAGGGTTCAGGTTGAGACTATTTGAGAAAGACCACCGGTCAGTTTTAGATAAGAGTCCGTTTAATTCAGAGTAATCTAAGTGAGAGTTAACTGGAATAGACATCGTCAGGTGTCATCAGCATTGTTAATATAATTAGCTTCAGCAAAAGGAACGATGACAAAAGCGGAGGAATTACTGCACCTTGAGACCCACTAGATTCAGTTAGCAGTGAAGTGCAGCGTATCCCTTTATAGACAGTATACTGTTTCCTTTCAGAAAAATAAGAATACAGTCAATTTGTAATTCATGGCTCAGTATGAGTTATGGCAAGCTAATTTAACAAAAGTGGTCTAGGAACAGAGTCAAAGACTAATGACTAGTGTAAGAAGGCTAAACGAAGATACCTAACACTTTTATCTAGAATAAAAATAATATTATGGTACAAGACAGAAGCGGCATCTAAAGTACTCCTCTTGTGTTTGTAATCAAACTCATTTGGATCTCTGAAAACCTTCAGTGAAGGCTCAAGTACAAGGAGAAGTAATTTCTCCATTGTCTTCAAAAAAGGTGAATTTATAGCAATGGGTTGAAACTTATCGTCTTGTCCAGAAGATGAATCAGGCACAGGTACAATTTTGATCTCCTTGCAAGAAGCAGGTATTGTGTTTTTAGAAAATGATACACTGAAGATATATATATATATATATATATATATATATATATATATATATATATATATATATATATTATGTAAGGGGACGATACAAAATATCTGCACATTTTCTAAATATAATGCTCAAAACACCTTCAAGACCTAAACTTTGGGATGCATTATGTTTATTAAAGCCAGGAAAGTATCTATCCATTTGACTATGAATGTAAGGAAGGATGAAATCAGCTTGTCGACGTATAAATGACTGGTTTGACGGACAGATACCCTAACAAGCTTCTTTTGTTATCTGTTTTCTACCGGTAAGCTCTTTAAATAATTTCCATATATTGGAAGAGTTCTTACAAGATAGAATAGTATTCAGACGTTGTATATCGGACTAAATCAGGCAGTTAAGTCTTTTAACGCCATGGTGATCTCTAACCTTATACAACCTTTCCTTTTCACTCCGGAGCCTCTTTAGATGAGGAGAAGAAATTCTGTCAAATCTCACGTAGATTGTTTCTGCAGGTCAGCAAATATCGAGGCAGAATTTGCGACTGCTTGTGATATAAGTGGTAGTGTTGTCTAAAACTTCATCAATAAATATATCCCAGGCTGTTTCTATAAGCATGCTTCTCAAACGTGGTATATTCTCCTGCGAATGGCACCTGTACTGGACTTTCTTGGAAAGATATCCGAAAGCCTTCTTGTGTAATTTGCCGTACACTTTAGGCAAAACATACAATACAGTGGTCAGAATTCATTAGCGGAACCCGTTTACGAAGCTTATATATGTTAGAGTCAGGAGGAGTAGAAACGTTAACCATGTTTTCATGTTCGAATGATACAAAGGAACTACAGTCACATGAGTTAAAATGTCCACAGACTATAGACAAGGAAATACCCAAAATCGCATCAGTGAATTCATCAGCAAAAGTTGACAAACCTGAGAAACTGCAGTCAGATGTGACACAAATGTCTGTTATGTAAATGTGTTTGTATTCGCTCAGATGTTTTGGACGACATTCAATGATAATGCACTCAGTTTTCTCGTGAGAAAAGTTAAAGTATGCATGGGTAGAGGTGGAACACTAAAACCTAGCTAGGTCGAAATTGGTAGATCCTAGTAAGGTAAGAAATTTAGAAAAAAGGTCAGCCATAGCTATCCATACGATTACACACAACCACACAATAAGATGGCACAGGGTGAAAATCCTCAAAACTAACATAACAGGGTGAAGGGAGAGATTGATAACTGAATCTTTGGTTATCGAATCAACATCGAACACATGCAACAGGAATGACTCAGCACCTGTTCCGGATAAATGGAAAATCTTACTACCCATCTCACAAAGAGACGAGGAAATTAGGACTATTTACAAGATATCTCAAAATTATCTTGATATGACTACGGATAATAAATTATGTCTGAAAAGTAATCCAGTAAACAATACTGTTACACTGTGTGATAAATCTAATGAATCAATAAAAGTGGAATTACATTCTACCACAGTGCACAAGTTTTACTTTTATATTTTCAGAATAGTTATTTGATTTATGGTCATAAGCCTGAGAGTTCATTGTCATCCACCATGATGCTCTTTCTTAATTTGGCTAACAACTTGTAAAGCAGCAGGTTGTAATGATTTAAAAAATGCACGGGAATGTATAATACGATCAGATAACCTAATTGGATGATTAAAACAATGTAGAAAAGAGAAATTTGATGCAATATATTCCGTGTTGAAATGGAGTAGCCTAAAGTTCAAGTAAGCTGCATCTCAATAATCAGTAAGAAAGAACGTATCGATTCCACAATAGGTGGCTTTTGTCACTCAGTAACCTAGTGGACAACACTTTGGTGTTTTTAATCAATGGATTCTGGTTTTGAGTCTCAACGGTAACACCGTCACTCACTGGGCTTTGAATGCATCCAGGTGACAA